AGACTCGCTTAAACAAGAAAAAAGGCCCACTGTCTAATATTAACATTTCATTGAAGTTCATTAAATTACAATGATTCTGCTACAAGACTTACTTAAAGACGATAAAAGGCCAATGGCCAAGTTATTATTAAACTTGTTTATTACTTATCTATACATTTTCTTAATTTATTGCGCATCAAAGAAGAGATTGCGCGTGTCCACGTTAAAATTCTCCACATCGTCGCGATCATCATGGTGATCGCAGTCCAATCCATAGTAATCTGTCAAGACGTCAAAAGAGTTATCGCATTTTTCGTATTCCTTTTCGTTTTCAATTAACTGACTCTGCATGCGAGTCAATTTATTCACTGTCATGCCACTAAGATGGTCCTGAATCAGGTTATGCAATGCAGCCGCTCTAGAGACGCGTGGTTGTGGTGTAAGCTTGTAGAATGCTTGAGACCAAAATAGATGCGTCATTGTAAGATCATAATGCTGCGGTGGGCAGCGCAGTACAGGGTGACCTTTGAATCCCCTCTTAAATAATTCGTCGACCGAAAATTTCTTCACCCTCTCGTGGCACTCCACGATCAACTTATACAGTTCAGGTTTGGACATGTTCGAATTGAACGGCACGTTGTTATTGTCGAGCCAGTTGCATAATTCTATTTTAGTGGCGTCTGCCTCGGGGGGAGGATTTAATAATATGTTTTGGAATGGTAAGTTTACGAATACGATCACTGCATTCGCCGGAATGAACGGAAGGACCTTATCACAAACCCAATTATTAAATGTCAGAAACAGATCAGTTTCTGAATGTTCATGTGAGTACTCCATTTCGAATAAGTTAATAGAATGCGGAGCAAGCCCAGTGCTTGAGTTGACGTTCAGTGTAAAAGTTTTATAAGTAGTATTGCCCCGTTGTGTGTAATAGTCAAAATATTTACTCAAAAATATAATGTCCCGTTTTTCAGCGCGGTATTGCTTTATTGTTTGTAAATATATTGCGCGATAGAGTCTTAATGTAGAGCTCTCCAAGAGAATCCTTTTGATTGGGTAGGATTTCGTAAGATACCAAAAGTATCCCATTTTGCGGAGGCGGCTATAAAACGCGTTTATATGACCTTTAACATCCATTTTTCTTTTTAAGACATATAACACGTCATCGGGAGGTGATACTAACTGTTCTTCGGAAATGCACTGGTTGATAGTTAGACGTATATAGTCTTTAATACGTCTGCTCGTAGAATTATTATCGGTTGTTCGAGCTGGAATTATTATACGTATGCGTCGATCCAGCGGTGGGTCGTCTTCGAATCTAAAGTCCGCGGGGTTCGCCGCCGCACTGGAGGTCGAAGGCGCCTCTATGGAGCTCCTATTGGATGTCGAGGGTTCACTTAGTTCAACCTCAAAAGAGTCCCCGTTTGAGTAACCTCTAAAAAAGTTCGGCTTTACCACGGCGCAGGGTTTCGGGCCTTTTGGCTTCTCCAAAAGGCTCTCCGCCATGCATAACTCCCAAAACACGGACATGGTTACCCTATCCTATTGAATTTGTAATACTTGTTGGGAGTTTAGATAGATGCTTAAGTGTGATGATAAAGGGCCGCTTGCCAGCCTGCGAAACGGTAACAAATTATTTAATGTCACACAATGTATCAGCTTAGGCGATGGTGCGTCCTATGTTCGTCATATGAACTCTCTCCTTTAACAAACTGTTGCTTACGCTCTGTCAATAAACTATTACTCTTAATAATGTAGTACAAAATTATTGCTTAAAAACAATGCATTTAACCAATGTTTCCATAAGAGCTTAAAATTTTAAAAAAAATAATCTAACATAAATAAACTTAAAACTAAAACAAATAAAAAACATCATAAAACGGAGCAACCAGGAGCAGAGATATGAAATAATAAAAAAAATACATACTGATGAATTGAGAACTTCCTCCTTCATTTATGAAGTCTGTGAAAACTTAAAATAATAAAATCTTCTGAAATACGGACCATACCATACAAATTTGAAAATTTGTACTGTACAGACTTATTGTATGTTCCAGTATTATTTACCGTCTGTGCTACTTAAAACACTATTTAAAAACTTTTTTAAATCACTTCCTTCTTGTGAGAAGATTCAACACTTCACTCAAAGTTACATGTTGGAGAGAAAACAGAAATAAATAATTATAAATTAAATAACAAAACAAAATCATACATCTCAATGTTGTTTTTTTTTCTCAAGCCTATAATAGTATCTTTTCTTTTGAATTGGCAACACATTCGCAGTTCCTCTAGTATTGCCGATGTCTGAGGGTATTGATGATCACCTTGGTGTTTCCGCATTTTGTTTGCTCCCTTCACTTATAAAAAAACTAAGGATATTTCTTACTTTTACATCCCTTCCCCCATTTCCCATACCCTCCTAATTATTATTTATTAACAGTGACAGATCACACTATAACATCTTATACCAAATAGCGCAGCCTGCCCGGACTAATACCATGACCATACAGAAGACAGCTGCGACATGAAAATCATTAAATGTTTTGTACAATAAGTGTGCATCCCGGTGGCCAAATTTTAACTATCTTCCCCATAATACCTTTTAATACAAGGAAAGGATAAATTACCCCTTCCCTGTTAAATCCATTTCCTCTTATGCATCCCTAATGTGGTAATCATGGCTGCTTCCTCTTTGTCAAGTTATTTTTTTTTAAAAAGGAAAAGACTGCAAAGTATACAATTTTGAACAGCACAGCATATGCACTCATGAAAAGACATGCGGAATTTCTTCCATTTTTCTATGGTTGTGGTATTGTACTGGGCAAATACAAGCAGCAGGCTACCTTGATACTAAATTGTACATACCTGTTAAGGCGTCAATGCTAAAATTGAAGCCTGAAATTAGTTCTTCACTATTTTCATATTTATAAGTATGATGGCCACCATTGCTGATGATTTCACTAGAGAGAAAGAGAATAAAAAATCAGTCTACAGGGTTAAACTTTACAATAGGAAAATGATCTCATTTACTTTATTTTTGAAGATTTTTGTAGATGTAATTCATTTAGAAGAGAAGAAAAAGAAAACACTGTAAGGTATAACAAATGGAAAAGCGTATAGCTACTAAAGTCTGACAAATGGGCGTGGCTGCTTATTTTTCAACAAGTTGTTACAGGAAGGGGTAATCGCAGACCAGTGGTGTTTTAGTTTAGTAAAAGTAAGGAGATGTATAGATCTGAAAAATCTATAGCTTCTGAAAAAAGGGTGAATGGGAGAATAAGAGTGGAGAGTGAAGTATCTCGGAAACAATTTGGACCGATCCTACCAGATTTTCTGCAGTCATCTTAAATAGTGTGCCACTACCAACCTACTCTGATTTTTAACACTTTAGTTTACTCGTCAAGATGTGAATATCCAAAAAAATGCCGGTGAGATTCATTCAACACATTTCAATACAATATGATTACTGGATTGACTCGTGATCTAAAAATGCTACTTAAGCTTAAGGGGCAGAACTAGAGGTCTATTGTAAGACCTATCTTATTGTATGAATCTGTATGTTGGGCCACAAAGTCAAGTCGGGGAAAAAGTTCCGAATGTGTATATAAAAGGTAGTTTGTGAGTAGCGCCAGTGATGGAGAAATTGAGAAGCAAAAGCTTAACATGGTATGGGCATATAATGCAAAGAGATGATGATCATACAACAAAAAAGTCTAAGATTGAATGTAGATGGCTACAAAGGTAGGGGAACTCAAAAGAAAATATATATGGATTGCTTGATATTCTTAATTGAAGTGTATTCAGATACAAAATCTAATAGATGTATGGAAAAGCAGTACATACTGCGCCGAATCTACGTAGGGACAAGAGCTAGTTGTTAGTAATTATGATAGGTAGTACTAAAATAGTATTTCCCAAAGTGGACAATAAAACCCTCTTGTGGGCACTGTAAGTTTAGAGGGCAGTAAGGGGCTCAGAAAAAATTTTTGGGCGTGGTCGATTTAAGATAATTTTGAACAAAACATACCCTTAATATTGTAAAGTTGCAATAATATTGCTTTCTGTAGTAAGAAGAATCTCGTTTAGAATTAGAAGGTTTGAATGATCTCCAGGCAAGACAGATATTACTGAGGTTTACAAGGTGAAAAGTAAAATGGAGGCGCTACCAGATTATTGATTTTTAAGTGGGCGTTAAACGGAATATGTTTGAGGACCTCTGTACTAGAGTATGAAACAACTATCTTCGAAATAACGTAAATGAGATCATTTCCTATCATTTAAAATACACCATGAACAGTATTAGATTAACACTTTTATAATTATCAGGCTCTTTAAACCAATAGTGAATTATAATTATTTTTATAAAGAAAATTACAATTTAGATACACTCCGACACCACTTCCACAGCGCACAATCAATGACAGTGGATAAATGACATTGCCATTACCTAGAACATCTTCGATTTCTTGCCGTCCAACATCTTGTTATTGGACTGTTCCAGGGTGTTTAATAAAAACTAGCATATAAATAGTAATTTTAAAAGTCTTCCATGATTTAATTATTGATAAAAAATAAGCAGGAAAAACTCAACAAGTTATTAATAGTTTATCTGTCATTCAAAAAGGATATAATCTGGGGTATTAGTCAATACATGAGCAATAGAGGAGAGTGGGGTTAAAATTTAAAAAATAATTACCGGCGATATATATTTTATGTACATTTATTTTAAACTAATTTAATTCTCCTTGGCGATTTAATATTAAGGTCGACATTATGAAGTCATTATACTGTCACGGAGTTAGAGAATTAAAATATATATAATTAATGAAATAACAATTGGAATATAATAAGAAAATATTAGAGGGAAGGTCGAGATGCGCTTCCATAGGAGATGCGGAGACAGGGTCACCCTTCTGCACAATAATTTTACGGCAGTTAGGAACTTTGTCGAGTTTAATCATGGCCTGGTCCTAAGCGACCAGCCTCTGAAAGACGATGTCATGTTCGAGGTTTGCATCGATCGAAAGGTAAGTGCCTTAACCCTTTATGCGATAGTTTCCACTGTGACGAACAACTATTAAAAAAAATACTGCACAAAAATGTGACTACTAAAGAAATGATATTTTTTGCTACAAAAAACTCCGTCGAATAAGGGCCAATCTATAAGCTAATCATAAATTTTAATGGAACATATATAACATTATTAACTAAAATACTCATATGGATTTATTGTTGTATTTATTTACTTTTGAAGTTATATATAAGTTTAGACAGGAATATGTCTTTATTCATGGAAGTAGCATTTGCAGAATTACTTGTAAGAGATTTGCAGTAAGGTTGTCTACCTATGCCTGCATTTATGTATAGAATATGCATTTAATGTATTTACATCAATATCTGTGTAAGTGCATAATGTAATTGGCTATTGATGGTGTTGGGTGAACTGTGACCTTTGATCATTTACACTTAACTATCTCCAGGTATAACTTGAAAACATTCAAGTTGCATATTTATGAAACCATAGTTTGTCTAAATATTTATGGATAGTCATTATTTTTATTAGAAGTGCTTCTTTGTTTATGGAGAAATTAGCTTTTGCCTGCGACTTTCATCTTCTTTCTCCTTATCCTATTCCAGTAGGGTTGGCACAACAGGTTTTTGTACTCCAGATAAATCTATCAGTCATCACTCCCTTATTGATCATGTCACCTTTAACGCAATCCATTCTTCTCTATCTAATTATCTCAGTCATCACTCCCTTATTGATCATGTCACCTTTAACGCAATCCATTCTTCTCTATCTTTGTCTACCGATATACCCTTCCACACTCATAACTAATGTTCTCCTTGTAACATACAATTCATCCCTCCTCATTACTTGTCCATACTATGTTAACCTTTTACTCTTTACCTTCTCTACTACTCTGGCTACTCTCAAACTTCCTTTTGCCTGCGACTTTGTGTATTCAAAATTAGTAGCCCATGCATTTTATCATAATATCATGATAAACACATAGGCTAAGATGGTATAGACTGTTTAGTTCATACCATTTTAACTGACATCTATCTATGCAGATTTTCTAGTGATATCTTGTAACAAACATCCATCCATTGATTCAATCTTACATCTATATAACAATAGTATGATAAATGACTTCAATAGTGTTGAAATAATTGAAAGATTTGCCTTAGTTGCTTAGGTTCTCCCGTTACGATTGTTGACGAACTACAACCCATAGAGGTGCATGCCAGTTCTAACTGGATAATTGTTATTCATATACGAGTATTAGTATAAATCTCTCCTTGATGTGTGTATATTCTTAGCTATGTTTTTTATTGATTTTATTTTTTTTAGGTTAATGTGTGGAATGGAAGTCTTGAAATTGGTGTTACAACACAAAATCCGGAATATATGGACTTGCCTGCAACAGCAACTAAACTGAGAAATACTGCTTGGGTGAGTTATGTACTTATGGGCTTGTTCGGAGAGTCATTTGGTTTGTTTCAGTAATATTGAAAATAATTTTCGTACAGTTATTAATTACTAAATTATGTATAGGACGTTTTCAAGGGTTTTTAAAACCAGTTTTAACATTTGGTAAAAATGAAATGACTATCCGAACAATCCAATACTATATTTGGTTAATACATCTATGAAAAGGATTGTCATGTTCTCTGATTAGACTTTTTATATGGCATTGAACAAATTTCTTTTGTAACTATGAAAAATTAGTTATTATTGTTCTACAATTTTAATTCATAATTTCCACAAACTTCGATGGTTCCAATGAAAATGTTTAAATTAGGTTCATCTTTATATGCTTGTTTTTAGATACTGTCCGGCAGTTCAGTTGTTAGGGATGGTGTGACACATTTGCCATCTTATGGCCCCGAGCTTGACACACTGCAAGAAGGTGATTGTGTGGGTGTCATGAGAACTAGTCGAGTAAGTATATTCACTCCTCATGTACATAATTGTTAAATATGACTCCAATGTCAGGTGTGGTAAACCTTTATGTATCAACACAGACATGCTATCAAGTAATTTTAATGTTTTCACAATTTATTTGTGACTAACTGTTCCTCGCGACATCGTCCGCGTGTAATTAAAATGTAACTGATAACATAGCTTTTTATTGGTGAAAGAATTTTTGAAGTCAGCTGAGTAGTTTTTGAATTATTTCAATAAGTACAAAAATCCAAAAGTACATTTTCCTTTTTGTAATATTAATATGGATATAGATAAAAATTATTGAGAACATTCTATAGAATAATAAATATAGTGAATACTTCACTTTTGTATCTTAAACCTTATTTTACTAATATTATAAATGTGAAAATTTAGATGGATGGATGGATGTTTGAGAGTTTGTAGCCTAAACGGCATAGAGGTAGATTATGGTCTGGAAGAACACATGGGCTACTCACTTTTGTTTTTTTTTAAATTCCAAGAGGAGGGAATCGCGGTCCAAAGTTCTTAATGTTTTTCGAAATATTGTGTCGCTTGTTATTTTTTCGCTACCCCTGGCTAGGGCTTGGCTAGGTAGACGCTTAAGCAAACCTTAGGAGTGCTGACAGTATTAGAAGAATTAAATTTAATGCCAACTTTCAAATATCAGTATGATATTTGTGTATGTGTGTTCATTTAAGTTTATTTTTGCAGGCTGAGTTGCTATTCTTCATAAATGGAAGGTGCCTCGGTGTGGCTGCAATGGATATGCCACCACTGTTGTATGCGGTAATAGATTTGTATGGGCAATGCGTTCAAATTACTCTGGTACCACAATCACCTGATACATCTAGACCTGCGATTGCAAATGAGGAATCTGTAAGTATTTTACATTAGATCTGTTCCCGTGCGGTTTCATCCGCATGTACATTATATTATTGTTTGAATTTGTAAAAATTTTAATTGCAAATGTCAAAATTCAAATTCACAAACTACAACAAACGCCTTTGACATTGGATAACAATTACCGTTGCCATGGCCAACCTTCCTTGATGTCAGCTAGTTTATGGTCCCTTTCCCACATTGATATTATTTTTCAATTTACCCACTAAGTTTAATAGCTTTAAAATATATAGCCTAAAGCGCGTCATAATTCTAGGGCGTTTTCATTAATAAAGAAATCCTAGGCAACAAAGTAGTGTGTGTTTACACTTTATTGTTAGTATAGTTTTTTTTTTAAATAGAAAATAATCTACAGAATATTTTTTCTTATAGTCTAATGAAGCAGCAGGTCATGATGGGCCGGTGTCACTAATGGAAGTTGTAAACTATACGCCATCCGTTGCACCAAAAGCCATCGTTCCAAGGGAGGATTATCTCACCAATTCAACGGAGTCTTGTACATTTTGTAAGCAACTTTATATATTAGTGCTATTTATTAATATTTTAAAAGTTACGATGAATGTGTATTAGAGTTTGCAGTTTAAAGTGCTGAATGGATATCTATGATAGACGCAGATTACGCATAAGAATACATAGGCTACTAAGTTTTTTTTAAATTCCGTGCGGACGGATTTTAGGCGAAAGCTAATCTTACTAAAAGTTTAGATGGATGGATGGATGTTTGTTTGTTTGAGTTTATAGCCTAAACAGCTGAACTGATTTCGATGAAATTTGGTATAGATGTAGAGGTTAGTCTGGAAGAACACATTCATTTTTTTTAAATTCCACGCGGACAGAGTCACGGGCGAAAGCTAGTATGTAATAATAGTATATAGTTCTTACTAGCTTTCGCTCCCGATGCTGTGCGCGTAGAATAAAAACACAAAACAAAAGTGAGTAGCCTGTGTTCTTTACAGACTATCCTCTTTATGTGAAATTTCATTGAGATTCGTTAAGTGGTTTTGGACAAACTCTAACATCTAAACATTTAGAGTATTAGTAAGATTGTTGTGACTATTTCTGTCTCTAACTGCCACTTTAAGATTTTTTTTTTAAATCTTTAAGTAGATTTTGTTTGTAATTCCAGATAACATAGATCGTTTGAGGTTTCACCATAGGTGTGGTGTGCTTGTCCGACTCTCACATCACAATAGGTGAGTTGTTTAAAATGTAATTCGATATTTCTAATAAAATGACTAAAAAAAAAACTTTAATAGCCATATTAACATCATTAGTTAATTACTTCCAAACAAATGCAAATTCAATACGTTAGTGCTTCACAAATAAACGCGGTATAAAGTTAAACTTAGGAATAAACTGAATAAGTAAAATTTGTACTAATATTTGCTTATACTCAGTTTATTCACTTTATTGTTAGACGGTTGATATATTACATGCATATTCTATATTTTTTTTTTATAACAAGGTGGCAAACGAGCAGGCGGCCACCTGAAATCGCCAGAATGGCGAAGCGACCGCTGCCCATAGACATCCGCAATTGCAGATGCGTTGCCTACCCTTATAAGACGGAGGAGAAGACGCACATAAAGAGGATATTTCCCCTTCCTATGCATCTCCTCCACCGTCAAATCCACTTCCTCATTATTTGTTTGTATTTGTGTTTGTGTATTTATTATTTAAATGCAGGACGGCGGAGCGTGCTCGACCAATGGATGACTATAATGACGCGGTGGTGATGACGTCACGGCCTCTCCATGATGACGAACTGTTCGAGATACGTATCGAACGCCTCGTGCATAAATGGAGTGGCAGCTTAGAGGTAATACCCCCAGTAGACAATAGCTTATATAAACATCAGATTCAAAAAATATAACACGACTTAGACCATTATCACCTGTAGAATAATGTCTTACGAGAGTTTTATAAGTAAACTATGATTTCAATGCAATGTTTTAATTTACTAAAGGGTCATAAAAATTTGCTCTTTAATTTTTTAGCTGACTACAAGGAGGAGGAGATTCTTAACCCCTAAATGCACGATGATGCATTTATACATCCATGTTTTCTTCTTTACAAAAAAGACTATTTTGAAAAAAAAAACGTTTTTTTTTATTTTCCCTTAATCTATGTTAAATTTACCTTACTCTTCAATTTATATTTAAAAAAATTCATGCATTTAAGGGTTCATTCGATTGGTATATTTTTTAATTAGTTTGATAAGGAATAGTAGCCATAGACTCCCATTTTAAATATAAACTATTTAGTAGTTTTTTCTATTTATAGAGTCCCACTTTCAGAGTCTTCAGAGAGAGTTCTTTCAGAGTCCCACTAACTGTACTAAACTGTTTTAGTTCAATAAAGGCTTCTTTATTTTTATTTTTATTTTATTCTTATAGATATAATGATGTAATAATATGTAGGTGGGTGTAACCAATCATGATCCAGCAACAATCCAGTTTCCTTCAACAATGACCAATGTGGAAACTGGCACAGTGATGCTCTCCGGCTCCAAGGTGCTTATCAACGGCCAGGGTACCTGCACCGAGTATGGCTCTATGAACCTCGATGAATTAAAGGTATACCTTTACCATTTTAATTATTATTATTAATATAAGTATATGTTACAAGATAATTGTGGTTCCTACAACTTCATATGGTCATTTAAAAATATACTAACTGTTTCTTGCGATTTACTTCGCGTCTATGTAAAAAAAACATTTTTGAAACTGTTCTACATTTATACTTGATACTAATATTGTAAAGATAAAAAGTGTATTTTTGTATGTATTGAAATAACTAAATAACTACTGGGCCGATTTTAGAAATTCTTTCACCATTAAAAAGCTACGTTTTCATGGAGTAATATGGGCAATATATTTTACACTACGCAACCGAAGTCGCGAGCATTAATTAGTACTATATACTTTCTAAGTTTTTTTTTTAATTCCATGCAGTTGGCGTCGCGGACAACAGCTAGTATTCAAATAAATTTTGCGTTATAACAAAAAATGTAATTCCGAGTTTGTTTCTGGAAGTTATCTCAATTTTGGTAGAATTTAGAAGGTAGCTGGTGTTATCATTGTTTTGTACCAGGAGCGGGACATGGTGGGGCTGATGAGGAAGGCATGTGGAAGTCTCCATTACTTCATCAACGGTGAAGACCAGGGTGTGGCAGCAAGAGATGTGGCTGCACCAGTGTGGGGCGTGGTTGACCTCTACGGGATGACCTCTAAGGTACAGTTAGGGAATTTGACGGTGACCAAAAATATATTCTTTTTTAGGTTCTAACACCACATAAGACATTTTTTGACTATTTTGATCATTCGTTAGAGAATTGAAGTACGCATCGTTTTAGCGTAACATAAACACGTATTCTATTTTAAATATAAATACAAACAGTTTACTAGTATGTATATTTGCAAAATTATGCAGATTTTTCTCTCCTTAAGAGTTGCTATTTTTTACATTCGTGGTGTTACTTCAACATTTTTCATTGTTAAATCTATTTATGTTTTCATTTGAAAATAATAATATATTTACAGCAATAATATTGTGTTCCTATGATGTTATAGTGGTAAAGCCCGCTTTAACATCTTCGCATTGTAGGGCCGGCTCGCCCGGTAATACCACGACCACACAGAAAACAGACGTGAAGTGGAAGTAATTCCGCGTACAGTCATATGAGTGTGGTGCCGGAGGCCTAATTTTAGTCCCTTTCCCTTTCCACCCTTTTGTCAAGAGGAAAGGATGGAAAGGAAAAGTTGATTTGACGGTAGAGGTGACATCTAGGAAGGGGAAATGTCCTCTTTATGTGCGTCTCCTCCGTCAATAAGGGTAGGCAACGCTGCAATTGCGGATGTTTATGTGCAGCGGTCGCTTTCCATTTCGGTGGATTCAGGTGGAAGCTTGCTCGTTTGCCTACTTATAAAAAAATATACATATTTATTTGCAGGTTTCCATTGTGGATCAATATGATGATAGTAATCTTCACGATATATCGCCGCTGCCTAGCGTCTCTGTGTTGGCTGGCTTAAGTAAGTATTGTAACCGTAGAATTATATGTAACAATACGACTTAGGGTCCTTCAAGAAGCGAGTCTACAATTTCCTGAAAGGCCAGCAACGCATCTGTAGTTCCTCTGGTGTTGCAGATGTCCATAGGCGTCGTTGACCACCTTTGTGTTTCCGCCGCTCGTTTGCCCCCTTTTATTAAAAAAAAAACAACATCGTACAGTCTCTGTTTTGTCTGTGTATTTATTGTAATTGATTTATACAAAGAAAAAGTACCCCTTAAGTAGGCTTCTGGGCTGAGCGTCGGTGGCTCAGTGGTTTAAGCACTTGACTTGAAATCTACAGGTCTTGGGTTCGAATCTCGCCGTACCAATGTGATTTTCTTATATACATAATTTATCCGACGTTCTTACGGTAAAGGAAAACATCGTGATGCAGCACATATCGGCGAAGAAATTCAAAGATATGTGTGAAGTCAACCAACCTGCACTGGGCCAGCGTGGTTGATTATGGCCTAGTCACTCTAATTTAGGGTAGGCTCCGAGCGCCTCGGTGGTGACGTATACTGACCTGGTGATGATGAAGTAGGCTTCAGTTTTTGTTTAAATGAATGTTTGTTTATTTTTTTATTATTTGTTAAGCTAGCGCTTGACCACGATCCCACCTGAAGGAGGTGACGATGCAGTCGAAAGATGGTACGAGCTAGCTTAATAGGTAGCTGTTCACTCTCCTTTTGAAGGCCCCCACGTCATATTTGGACGGGAAAACTGATGTCGGCAACATGTTCCAATCCTTTGCAGTGCGTACAAGGAACGATGATTTAATATTGTTTTTTAGGTGACCTAGCTCCTGAGGTAGATGCGGACGCGGATGCGGATGTAGATACAGATACGAATGAAATAGAAGATGACAGTCATTTATTTCATACGCTGCGTGCTTCGAATGTTGTTATTATTAACAATGGTAAGACTGCTTATAGGCCTAAGTAAGTATCCAATTTTTTATCTTACTAATATAAATGTGATGTAAGTTTGAAAGTATCGCCAGTGGTGGAGAAATTTAGAAGCAAAAGGTTAGCGTGGTATGGACACGTTATGCGACTAGACGATGGGAACATAAACCTGACAGTGTTAAGAATAAATGTGGATGGCTACAAAGGAAGAGGAAGACAGAAAAAAGTATGGATGGATTGTGTGAAAGAGGATATGCTTAAGAAAGGAGTGGATTCAGATATGACGGCTGATAGAGATGTATGAAAGAGCAGCAGCACATACTGTGCCGACCCTCCGTAAGAGATAAGGGCAAGTTGATGATGATGATGAATATAAATGTGAAAGTTTAGATGGATGGATGTTAGAGTGTGTAACTTAATCTGGAAGAATACATAGGCTTTTGATTTTTATTATTCCACGCCGACGAAGTCGCGGAGAATGCAAGTTTTAATATATGTAAAGCAGTTGTCGAAATGAAAAAATGTGTTTCTTCGATTTGGTTGTTTTCGATCTATGAATTTTCTTTTATAAACAGTTAAATCTTGTTTTCAACAGCTGTTTAAGAGTAGCTTTAATTTTTTTTATATTAAGAGTAAATATTAGAATGATTATAGTATAATGTTTATGACTTGATAATGTATTTTTTTATTAAATAAATCTAACTAAGATTATAAATGCGAAAGTTTAGGAGATGGATGCATAGATGTTTGTTAGAGTTTGTAGCCTAAACGGCTGAACGGATTTCGATGAAATTTGGCGTAGTTGTAGAGGATAGTCTGGAAAAACACAGCTACTTACTTTTGTTTTTTTAATTCCACGCGAACGCAGTCGCGGGCGAAGGCTAGTTTTATATACATTGTTCGTTTAGTTTAACATAATGTGATATTTCTAGCGCTATGGAATTCTTCAATGAAGGGCTCGTAATGACCAACCGGCCCCTGAAGAGTGACGAATTGTTCCAAGTTAGAGTCGATATGATCGTACCAAAGTGGGCGGGGAATATTGAACTCGGAGTCACGCAACATACATCAAATGAAATAAACTTCCCATACAAACTTAGCAATGCCAAGTGAGTACAAGAATCATAAAACACATCAACACTCTGACATATATCTATACTATTATAATAAAGCGTAAGCACTCACTTCTGCGTTGCCTAAGATGTCAGCAATTACAGCATGTTGTTGAATAATTCTTTTTTTAATGAAAAGACCTACACTTACGTCATGCTTTAGGCTATATATTTTCAAGCCAACTTAGGGGGTTAATATTTTGGATAAAAACACTAATGTGGGAAAGAGACCATAAGTTGCTGCCAACATCAAGAAAGAAAGATTGCTAATGTTTGTCATGTCATGTCATTTTGACATTTATACATGTCAAAATGATGTCATGTGTACATGTAAACAATAAAATAAAGTTTTTATAATTTCATGCGGGTAAAGCCGCATGGGAACAGCTAGGTTTTAGATAATTTGTTAAGGAAGCTCTAAACCGTAATTGTTTACCTTTTAATGAAAATAGATTGGCTAAAATATCGTTATTATAATGTTTTTAGCACTTTAAGGTAAATTAATACCGCAAAGAGTGTTCATATAGCAACCATGATATTGTTACCTACATATGTCTATACTTAATATTTTAAAGAGAAAAGATTTGTACTTTTGGATTTTTGTTTATATTGAAATAACTTAAAAACTCTTGGGCAGATTTCGAAAATTCACAATTAAAAAGATATGTTATGAGTAAGTAACAGTTTAAATTTCATGCAGACAAAGTCTCCGGCAACAGCTAGTAAATAATCAAATTATTACTTAAATAAATTATATTTTAACAGAAGTGGCACATGGGCCTTGGTCGGTGAGGACGTGATCCGCGATGGTGTCATCATCAGCTCCCAGTACACCAGGAACCTCAACAGACTCGTGGTAACACTTAAATCAATACTTAGACCGTTTTTAAGTTAGTTGCCAAGTGCAAAGCTATCTGTAACTAGACCACCGTGAATTATGGTGACTGTACTTACTCTGCAAGTAAAAATCTAAATGTTAGAGTTCCTTATGAACATAACGCTGTATATCGTACTGGGAAGGACGAATATGGACTTGATTAGGGTGGTTGGGGTGGGGGGAGTAGCTGACTATCCAAAGTCAAGCTGTCAAGAATTAATTATATTCTAGTGCTCTTTTTAACAAGTGGCAAGTGATTATTATGCGTGACTATGAAGTAATTTTAATCTTCTTTTCCTATTAACCCTTTTTGTACAAAGGGAAAGTATTCGGGAGGGATAGGACAGGTAGGGGTAATATTCTCTTTTTGTGCGTCCCTTGTTGCTTTAGGTAGGCAATGAATTTGCAAATACAGATGTCTGGTATAAGCGGTCGCTTCGCTATTTTAGCGAATTTGCTGGCCTATTACTCGTTTTTCATATAAAAGAAAACTGTTCCTAGCTTTTTAGTAGAAAACCGAAATGGTAAAGTGTGATGCATTGCTCTACTGTTATGATTACAGGAAGGTGATACCATCGGCCTGATGCGGACCAGCCTCGGCGTTCTCCACTTTTACATCAATGGTGAAGACCAGGGTCCTGCAGCCTACAATGTACCTGATCAACTATATGGAATTATCGGTAATTTACTCTGGGTACAAATAGATTTTAAAATACCCGAATATATCTTTCTCGATTAGTTTTTTAATGATTTTATGTAAAGTCTTGCATTTTTTTTGGTATTTTTCTCTGGGAGATCAATTTAATTTGGTTTATACAGATCTGTACGGTCGTGCGGGCCAGGTGAGCATCGTGGAAGGCAGAGTAGACCCCCCAGTCTACTCGCCAGAATCTCCGCTCTCTACTGAATCTATTATAACCTCTTTTCCGTAAGTTTTTACAATATTTAACAGCGTCAAAATCTATTTATATTGAAAAATACTTAATAAACTACTAAAGTTCTAATTAAGTTATAGTTAGAATTTAATAAATATTTTAATATGATATAATATTTAAGTATTGAAATGTATTGAATTGGAGATGTGCTGTTAATTATGGCCGATATTCTTAGCATTAAAATAACACCGGTACTATATATAAAGGACATGTGTTGACAGTTATGGCCGTATTTCTCAGTGTTATACTTAATCTGTAATATATGTTAGGAAGATGTGTTGACAGTTATGGCCGTTTTTCTTAGCGTTGTACTAAAACGATATATTCCAGGGAGATGTGTTTCCACCTGGTGCATGGACGCAATGCGGTGCTGTCTCGGTCGCGGCTGACCGCGTCCCGCGCCGCTGTCTACTCGGAGTTTAACGACGCGGTGTTGTTCAGTTCCCGGCCTCTCCGAGAGTGCGATATGTTTGAACTACGTATCGACGCGATGGTCGACTGCTGGATAGGCAGCATTGAAATGGGTATGTTTTAATAAATATAATATTTTTAATGACCAAAAATGGTTTGAAAGGTATAATGTAATAGTTTCTGAACATCATACTAATGTTATAAATGCGAAAGTTTAGTTGCATGGATGTTAGAGTTTGTAGCCTAAACGGCTGGACGCATTTCGATAAAATTTGGTATATTATATATTCTGGAAGAACACATAGGCTACTTGCATTTGTTTCTTTTTCTTATACATGGACTGAGTTGCTGGCGAGAGCTAATTCCGTATACTCACTTTTATAATGTTTTTCGTTTTTATTATATGATGTCTATATTTTTAAAGGATTTACAGATTTTTTAAGTTAAATATAAGAACACATTGTTATGACAGTTATGTTTTATTGTGATGTCAGGTGTGACCGGGATCCGGCCGGAGGATCTGGAGGGTGTTGGGGGAGTGGGGGGTGCGCTGGCCGGTACCGCGACCGACCTGACGGGGGATACTTACGTGCTCAGTGGTGCAGCTATCATGAAGGATGGAGAATGTGTACGAAGCGGATACAGGCTTGATCTAGATACACTGTCTATTGGCAGTAGAGTTGGTAAGTAATCTTACTTTTTACTAATATTATAAATGCGAAAGTTTAGATGGATGGATGGATGGATGGATGGATGTTTGTTAGAGTTTGTAGCCTAAACGGCTGAAAGGATCTCAATAAATTTTTATAGATGTAGAGAATAGTCTGGAAGAACACATAGGCTACTTACTTTTTATTTATTCCGCGCGGACGGAATCGCTGGCAAAAGCTAGTAGTTACTAATAGTAAAATTGTATAGGCCAGTTACTACGTTGTAGTTAGACCACTATTTTCAGACTAGTTAGCCTGGTTTAGTATTTAACACCAAACTAACAAGGAAAGATGTATTGTATTTTTAACACACATATAAAATGAAACAATTTAATTTTAATGTTGTTTAAATTGTTATTTATAATTGCAGCGTAAAATTGCGCTTACTTGGTATTGAGCCTCAGTCTACAAATTTAGGGTTGATTTGTCCATAGTTGACCACTCTGCGGGGATTGACTTTACAAATCTTTTTGATTTCCGTCAATACTTACGTGTAAATATTAATCTACAGGTATGATGTGGCATGCTGATCGAAGTCTGCATTACTATTTGGATGGTATGGATATGGGCCAAGCGTGGCATGTACCACATCTCAACATCTACGCAGTTGTCGATCTCTATGGACAATGTACACAGGTCAGTGGTGACATTTAAGGCCTTTTTAATACTTCACGCTATTTCAGAGCAATAGGTTAAACTGGCATATGTCAATAAGAGACTTCTCAGTGTACCCTCGTACCTCTCTCTGAATTCACTTGCACGTAACTGTCTCACAATTATGACTGTAGATATAGCATTCCAGTAACTGGCATTCAAATATGTCAGCTACTGTATTCTACACGATTTTTTTTTAAAATAGCCTAAATTAAGGCGAATTGAAGTAAATTGAACATAGTTCAAGGGAAAAATGAAGAAAATATCTATTTTTAAATAATCTATTGGGTGTGAAAGAGAAGACTGATGTATAAATGCATCATCATGCATTTATGGGTAAAATTAATTATTTTTTTAATATGCAGGTGACGATATTGCAAAATGAAGGTCGTACGTTCAACTGCAACCCCGGTACGACCTCGGACAACTCCCTGCTGGATATGACCCAGCAACCAGCAGCCCCACCACAGCCTTATTGGTAAATTATTATATAAAAAATAAATACTAGCTGTCGACCGCGATTCCGTATGCACATATTAAAAAAAATCATGCCTATGAAGTCTATCTAACTAATATTATAAATGCGAAAGTTTAGATGGATGTTTGTTAGAGTTTGTAGCCTAAACGGCTGAACGGATCTTAATGAAATTTGGCATAGATGTAGAGCAGAGTATGGAAGAACACATAGGGTACTTATTTTTATTTTTTTTAATACCACGCGGACAGAGTCGCGGTCGAAGGCTAGTGTTAAATAAATGTCAAATTTCAGCAAAATCCGTTCTGAATATAACAAACATTAAACTAAAATTTCGCATTTATTAATTAAGATGTGCTATGGGGTTTTGTTATTTTTTTAATATTTGTTTTTTTTAATAGTACATTCTCCGAGTACTGTGGGGACAACGTGCGTGTGACTAAGGAATATTCGATTGCAAAGCGTTTGTACTACGATCCCTTCGGAGCCCTCGTCTTCAGCTCCTCACATTTAGCACTGGAAGAGATGTTTGAGGTAAATATCAACATGTCTATACTGATATAAAAAACTAGCTTTCAGCCGCGACTCCGTCCGCGTCGAATTAAAAAAAACAAAAGTGAGTAGCCTATGTGTTCTTCCAGAATATCCTCTACATCTATACCAAATTTCATCGAAATCCGTTTAGTCGTTTAGGCTACAAACTAACAAACATCCATTTAAACTTTCGCATTTATAATTTTAGTATGATAATGTTAGTACTTTTAGCTTAATTTTAGTCCTTTTTTGTTTAAAAAGCACGGTTAAACTATGGTTATTTAAATTTTCAGCCTTTGTTGTTGGAGTATTCTAATTTACGGATTGTAAACAATAAAAAATTATGAAAAACACATATCTGATCAAATCTGATGTATTTTTTTAACAGGTGAAGATCTTAAAGCAGCGCACCGGGTTAGGGGGTGGGCTGCGAGTGGGAATTACCGATATCAATATACTAAATGCTCACGTCAACCGCAGCCTCCCGCCCGCTTCTTACTACTTACCCCACTTCACCGCATACATTGACGGTCAGTTTTACCCTAATAATATGTATATTTAAATACCGATTTAAATATATGTTGCTATAACAGTCTTAAATGATTAGTTACACTTACAGCCGAATTCTGAAACAAATCTCAATAATTTTTCTTTGTAAACGTCGCTTACAATCTATCAGACGTCAAAATGTTGATAAAAATTAAGTAAATTATCAGTTACTAGCTTTCGCCCGCGACTCCGTCCGCGTGGAATTAAAAAAAAACAAAAGTGAGTAGCCTGTGTGCTTCCAGACTATCGTTAACATCTATGCGAAATTTCATAAAGATCCGTTCAGCCATTTTGGCTACAAACTCTAACAAATATCCATCCATCCATCTAAACTATCGCATTTATAATATTAGTAAGATTACGCTGCTACATGTCTGAAAGTCGTTTCAGTAATCGGCCGTTAAACTCAGTAATTTAATATGTGACTATCTTATCTAAATAACCTTTGTAAGCCTGTAACCACACATTTAAGGCAGACTTTTCTTCCTTACGTAATAGACCATTTTCTTTATTTTTTCCTTAATCTATGTTCTATTTACTACCCGTTTTAATTTATGGTATTTAATACGAAAGAATTATCTCATTAAGGGTTAAACACTGAAATTTCCTGAAATAACAAAAGATATATTGATCAAAATCAAAAGATGAGATATTTTTTTCAGGGAAACACATGTTTTATACAAGACCAGGGACCCGGGAACGAGACGCAAGACTCGTGGTCCCTTCCTTCGAGTGGCTGAGACCAGGAGACCGCATTGGACTGAAAATGACCTCAGACCACCGAGTCGTGATCTATTATAACTATGAACCACTTGATGTAGCATTTGAAGGCGTGCCCGATGTAAGCCACGCCCATGTATATCCATCTCTTTCCTTCCTATATATCTAATGGTTTTCTTGTGGTTTCCAGAAAGTGTACGCTGTAATCGAATTACACGGAGAAGTTAGTAAGATTCAAGCTATGAAGGTAGCTAATGCTCTGCCCCCGCAATGTAAGTTTTCTTTTGGAAAATACTTTTATATTACGAGCTGTTGTTCGTGACTTCGCCCGCGTGAAATTAAAAAAATAATAAAAAAGACATAGCCAATGTTATTCAGAAAGAAATTAAGTTTCTAATGGTATAAGAATTTTGGAAAACGACCCAGTAGTTTTTGAGTTATTTCAATACATACAAAAATACAAATATTTCCTCTTTATAATATTAGCATAGCTAAAGCGTGAACACACACTACATAGTTGTATAGGATGTCAGAAATCACAGTACATTATTACATTATTCTTTATTAGAAAAAGCCTACATTTGCGACACGCTTTAGGCTATATATTTTTACGCTAATACAGAATTTCCAAAAAAACCGTCATGAGGGAACGGGACAAAAACTACAAGCTGCCAACATCAAAAAAAAAAGATTGCCATAGTAAGGGCATTTGTTACCCAATGTCAAAGGCCTCCTTAATTTGAATTTTGGCATTTTCAACTGAGTATTTGACAAAAATCTTATTTCTTACTAATATTATAAATGTGCAAGTTTAGATCTACGGATGGATGGATGGATGTTTGTTAGAGTTTGTAGCCTAAACGACTGAACGGAATTCTATGAAATTTGGTATACATATAGAGTATAGTCTGGAAGTAAACAGGCTGCTCACTTTTGTCTTTTCTTTCCTCCACGCGGATGGAGTCGCGGGCGATAGCTAGTGAACAATAAAATAATATTTTTCTCATTTCATTCGAATAAAGCCCTACGGGAATAACTCGTATTATAATAATAACAAAAGCTTTATTAAGTGTTATTAATTTGCAGTAAACGAGTCCTTTCTGAGACGTGAGGTGGAGACGTTCCAAGAAGTGACGTCACTGAAGCCCTGTGAAGACATGGATGGTAGCCTCGAGGGTATAGAGGGTACTCCAGCGCCCTCCCCCGCGCCCCCAGCACCCCCTGCCGCCCGCCGCAGCCCTCGCCCTTACACTTTTCATAGTGTCCACGGAAATAACATCAAATTATGCAGCTCGGGTGAGATACAAGATAATTATTATCCTGTAAATGCATGATTTTTATCTTTTTTCTACCCTTAAATTGAAACGGGTAAATTGAATATAGATCAAGGGAAAAATTAATATTTTTTTAAATAATCTATTGGGTGTGAAAAAGAAGACTGATATATAAATGCATCATCGTGCATTTTAGGGTTAAATCTATACTAATATTATAAAGTGGAAAATTTTGTTTGTAATAAATAGGCTCAAAAACTACTGGGCCGATTTTAAAACTTATTTCACCGTTGGAAAGGTAATTTATCTGTGAGTGTGTTAGCTATATTTTTTATTTCTTTTTATTTGCACGCGGGAGAAGTCGCGCTACCTAGTTCCCAATACAGTATGAATTGAAAAGAAATACTAGTCAATGTCCAGCTATGCCAAATTTAATTTAAATCTGATTCTAGACTTGTGTAAGGAAATGCATTTTTCTTATTATTTTCTTGATCTGTAGAATCAAAGAAATATTTGATCTGTGATAAACTTGCATAGAAGAACAATGCAAAAGAAAAAAATCATTTTTTTATTACATCCGTTTTTTCGGATTCATCCATTTATCTGTACTTTATTAGTAGATGTAAGTTAGTAATATTAATGTTTCCAGACACGGTGGCTGTGCGTACTTGTAGCTACAAGGGTGGGCTGGCAGTCGTCAGTCAGCCTATCAGACGTGGACAGAGCTTTATGGTAATTTTATGATTATTATTAACTTTCGCCCGCGACTTCGTCCGCGGGGATTAAAAGAAAAAATAAAATTATTAGCCCATGTGTTCTTCCAGACTATCCTCTACATCTAAACCAAATTTCTTTGAAATCTGTTCAGCTGTTTAGGCTACAAACTCTAACAAACATCCATCCATCTAAACTTTCGCATTTATAATATTTATTATAAGTATGATTTAACTTGATTGTAAGAAAACCGTTAAAGATAGATATACACCGGACTTTTCTGTAGAACTTTTTGAGATCTACAATTCTTTCATACATCATTTTTATATATCTCTAACGGTTTAGGCAGCGTAAGCCGAGAAAATTTAAAGTATTGTGATTTTTCAACGCCGTGGTTCAGAAATATGTTGTTTATTAATAGTTCCTCAACATAAGTAATAATGATATATATCCTATGTTACTCACAGATAAATTTCCTTTCTAATAGTGAAAGATTTTTTAAAATCGACCTAGTAGTGTTTGAGTTATTTCAATACATACAAAAATACAAATCTTTCCTCTTTAGTTTAATTTTTTTTTATGTATATAATTTTTTTTTGATTTTTTTTTTAAATTCAATTTTTTATTCATTTATTATTATAGATTATGTAACGTTTATGGTTTTATACCAAAATCCATCTAGAGTTTACAAATAATCAAATGCGGCTAGTGAGATTTTTTGAGTTATTTTGATATATACAAAAATCCAAAAATTTAAAATCATTCCTCTTCTTATATGTCGTGTTTGTAGTTTCGCGTGGACAAAGTGGAGGCAAGGTGGTCAGGTAGTTTGGGCGTAGGTGCCCTAGGTTACCTGCCCGATGAACTGCCCGACCTGGCAGGTGCTATCGAGCCCCCAGCCTGGCTGCTCGCGCCCGACCTCTGCGCGGACAACGGAACATTCGTAAGTTTCATTCACTGGCATGTGTGTTCATTCCAGTACATAGTATATTTGAATTTGTGACAGCTACTTGCTTGTTAGTGGGGGGACTGTCGAGGGGAAATTGAATACTGGCTTATTGTTTTTCCAGACTATCCTCTACATCTGTACCAAATTTCATCGAAATCCGTTCAGCAGTTTAGACTACCAACTCTAACAAACATGCATCCATCTAAACTTTCGCTTTTGTAATATTAGTAAGATTATATGACTAGCTTTTACCCGCGACTCCGTCCGCGTGGAATTAAAAAAACAACAAAAGTGAGTAGCCTATGTGTTCTTCCAGACTATCCTCTACATCTATGCCAAATTTCATTGAGATTTATTCAGCCTTTTAGACTCTAACATCCATCCATCTAAATTTTTGCATTCATAATATAATGATCATACTAAAATTAGTTTGGTGTCTTTGGTCAGTACCGACCGGAGATATCTCGTGTGTTGGAGGAGGTTTGCGAGCGATCGGTGGTGAGTGTGGAGTTCCTCTGCGATGGCCGACTGCTGGTGGCTGCAGATGGACGTCCTCTCTGCGCCCTCGCCACCGTACCTGATACTCTTGATGCCCTCTACCCCCTTATTGATGTCTACGGGAAAGTCTGCCAGGTATACTAATCATAAATAGCAAAGATTTACTACCTTTATTCATTAAAAGAATTACCTCGAAATGTATTTGTTTCTTTTTTTCTACATTTTTTTGAAGAGAAAAATACGACTAATACAACTCGCGTCATAAAAAAATGAAAAAAAAGGAGATATGACGTCTTTTTCATCTTAAATCTCCTTCAAACAAACTTCAAACGCAATTTCACAAAAACATACATTTTGAGGTAATTCTTTTTGAATAAAAATGCGTTGTATTTTTGTATGTATTGCAATAATTCAAAAACTACTTGGCCGATTTTAAATGTTTTTTCACCGTTAGAAAAATCACTTATCTGTGTGTAACATATTTTTTATTATATTCTAAATTTCACGCTTACGAAGTTACATAAAAGCGTGTTTAAAACATTACAACCATGTTGTTTTTATTTATAGCAATAAAATGTTCATGTCTTCCAGGTGTCAATATTGCTTCATCCATACGTGTTGGGAAGTGGCGCTTCTTTAGACCTGCCGAGCGTTATAGCAACCCGCGAGGACAGTTCCGGTGTATCTGAACTTCCTGAGGATGATATGTCACCGGAAGACGCGCCCTCTCTCGGAGACACGAAACCACGAGCTCATAGTCATACTGGCCTTGCTGAGGAACTACCACCTTCCCGCCCCACAGTCACCATGCACCAAAGCCTCATGCTGCCTCCTCCTACCCTCGACCGTATGCACAAAAGCCACTCCAGCCAAAGTCT